CGTGCGTGCGTGCGTGCGTGCGTGCGTGTGTCTGTCTGTTGAACAACGTTGAGCATTCCTTACAGAACCATCTAAACCCTAAACCCTAAACCCTAAATCCTAAATCCTAAACCCTAAACCCTAAACCCAGCACTATTATTCTTAAGCTTCAAAACTACTGTGACTGGGCGGGCCCGAGCCTTCAACACTTTAAGGTTTCAAGAATATGGTTTGAGGTTGAGGGGTGTTAATATAGGCGCCTAAGTACTTACCAATACTATTGTGAGGGTTCCAGACCATAAATACTGTATAGTATACCCCCCCCAAACCCTTTTCTAATTATTAAGGCCCCTTTTTTTAGGTTTAGGGGTGTAGGGTTTAGGATTAACCAGTCATAAACAGTCCTCCTCAAGCCATAGCGAGAAGGTAGGTGGTAGGTGCCTCTGTAAATCTGCGCTTCACATTCGTCTCTACGTTAGTAGTATATGTTTGTAGAAATACTTTAATGCAATGTAATCTAACCTAACATCAGAATCAGTATGTTTTAGTAAAATATACCTTAACACCTTGCAAAATGATCTAGCATCAGTCTATATATTTTAGCATAACCTATTTGAGTATATGTATGTATATATATAGCATAATCTAAAGTACTATAACAGTACATCTCTTCATCGGATCCCTACAAATCCTAGCAGCCTAGCTTTGGGTTTAGGGGTTTGGGTTTAGGGTTTAGGGGTTTGGGTTTAGGGGTTTGGGTTTAGGGAAGCTTTCGCTGCACGCAATATAGGAAGAGAGCCGAGTTGCCCTAAAACTTCAAACAGCCCAAAGTAGGTACCATCTTAGACTTTAGACCCCCAAGTACGTAGTATTCGCAGGCTTGGAGTCTTAGGGTTAAGAAAACACCATCACAGCAACTTTTTCTAGACAGGCTGAATCTCCGCAGTGCCTGCTGTAGCCTAGTAGCTCATAAGTAGACAAGACGGTAGATAAATAGGTAGCAAATAAACTCGTGTGGATATAGTATATATATATATATACACACACATCTTCCCATACATGCATATGTATGCATGCATGCAGGTAGGTAGGTAGGTATGCATGTATGCATGTGTGTATTTCCATGACTATATGCACTTACAGACATTTATCGGGAGTGTTTATTTCTGGTCGTTGTTCCACTATCTCTCTCGACTTATCTATCTATCTATCTATCTATCTATCTATCTGTCTACCTATCTAGCCATCTAGCTACTTCTCTCTCTTTCTCTCTCACTCCTTTTCTCCTTCCGCGTGCTTGTGTGATCCCTTGGAGCTTTATCAGCTGTTTTGGATTCCGCCAGGGATGGCTCCGAATACATGTCCAAGCCAGTACATGCTCAGGCTGCACGCTGACCTTCTGATGATTTCTGTTCTGGTGATGCGAAACGGTACCTTGCTTTTTCTCACGACAGGCCCCCAACCCTAAATCCCTAGAACTTTAACCCAGCGCAAGCTCCTCTACACCCTACACCAGTGGAGGATCTAGGGAACAGCCAGGCACCCCTTCCATGTCACTCCCAACTACTTAGAACACAGGGGCTTGAATTATTAGAATAGGGTTTTGGTGTATATACTAGTTATAGCATGATTGTAGGCTTGTACCTTAAAGAGTTGCCGTTCCAGTTTGCAAAGGTTTACGACTTCACCTGGCGAGCTGCAACTGGATGGCACTTGGTGGGGATAGTATAGAAGCCTTAATAGTCAGAATTGGGTTTTGGGGCCCACTATACTATAACTATAATAAGGAACCCCCAAAACCCTATTCTAATTATTAAGCCCCTACATTAGGTGCAGAGTATCCTGGGTTTTAGGTTTAGAGTGTAGGGAACATCCTTTTGGTCACCTGCGAGGCATCCTCGAAGCCAGAGCTGCTAAGGTTTCCCAACCCTCATAAAATCCTTGTAGCACCCCTTTCGGTACCCCTAAACTTTTCACTTTGGGAGTTTGGGGTCTGAGGTTTGAAGCCTATACCGAACAACCCCAGAAGTCTGCCTTAAGCTTTCTACAGCTCATACAGCCCAAGGCCTGCAGTCGCCAAACCCGGAAGGTGGAGTTGTTCTTGGGTGTAGACCCCAAACCCTGTAACTATCACCCTGAAGCCCTAAACCCTGAAACCCTAAAGCCCTAAACTCTATAACTATAACCTCGTACACCAGCCTAAATCTCCCAATGCATTTCTGGCGCAAGGATCTACATGCTGCCATTCACGCTTCCGGTGAACGGCCGCCAAGTCTTCGAGTGTCCAGCTTGGCACGTAAGGGCTTCAAGGTTTAGGGTTTAGGGTTCAGGGGAATGGGGCTTCGGTGGTTTGGAATTTTCTGGGCTTTAATTAAGGCTACAGGAATTTGTTTTGGGGTTGTAGTTTCTCGTCTTGGAGTAGTGCAGTTAGAGATTAGCATTAGAGTTTTGGGGCTAGGGCTCGCATGGTTTATGGGCTTAGGTGTTCGGGCTCCAAGTAGCCTAAGTAAACCAAGGTAGCCCAAGAATCTATATATATATATATATAGATATTATATATATATACCCTTCCGGTAAGCATAAACACTGAAGGGTCTGTCATACAACTCTGCGTGTATGGTTTATGTATGTACATATATACATACAGTCATACAGATAATTATGTGTCTGGTACCAACCTCAACCCAAAATCAGGCCCGGAATAGCACCGAGCTACAGGTTGCAAGGCGGGCCCACGCAACGTCAATGGATGTCGGGTGGGGTGTTTAATGGAGACATCGGGTAGCGGCCGACAGGGAAAAGGGTTTAGGGTTTCGGTCAAGGTTGAAGGGCACATGTCGCAAACTGTAAGCCCCAGCGCCCTAAACTCCCTCTAAACCCTAAACCCTATTCCTTCTAAGCCCTAAACCCTATTTCCTCTAAACCCCAAACTCTCAACCCCAAACGCGCCAAGCCTGTAAGACCGTCGGAGCGTGAGGGAAGGAACGAGGCCAACCTCGTCGGTTTAGGGTTTAAGGTCATGCAGAGTTCATTCACCCTGTTCGGAATGCTGTCCTAAATACAGCTTCCTCATACCCCGAAGAAATGATGTATGCAAAGAGCCATCTTTTCGGGATTTCAAGTCTTTGGCTACGAGCTAAGGTTTTTCTATTTTTCTCACTGTTACGGTTCGGAAAGGTGTCCAATCAACCCATCACGTAGTCCTCCTAGGGTCGCCTTTTTGTTTGGTCTGGATTTCGCTGGATAGCCTTAATATAGGGGACTTACTAGTTGGAATAGGGTTTTTCGGCCGGGAACCCCCCAAAATAGTATTGGTAAGTATATAGGCCCCTACTTTAAACCCTAAGTATTTGTTGAGTGCCTCGAGTTCCGAGATTTGCGTTTCCAGCCAGTGAGATTGTAGGACCGGTTTGCATTGTGCCGTGCGGTGTTTCGCATGTCTAAGGCTCTCTGCCCGGTATGGAGAGGCAGGACAGGGTGCGATAGGATGCAGATAAAGATTTGAGGCATCAGTCATTGAAAAGGCTGCTGAGGACGTATCAGTGGGGAACTGTTGGTTCAGAGGCTAGTTGGCTCATGTACGGCTTACACGGCCTTAGACACTTCAAGCTTTGTGCGACTTGACATTCATCACTAAACCCTAAGCCCTAAACCCCAAAACCCTAAGCCGTATACCCTAAACCCTATAAACCCTAAACCGTATACCCTAAACCCAAAACCCCAAACCGTATACCCTAAGCCCTAAACCCTAAACCGTATACCCTAAACCCTAAACCCTAAACCCTCAACCGTATACCCTAAACCTAGACAAGATTCAGATCCCTTGGCCCTCAACTCGAAGCTCTGAAGCCATCTGGCGCCAGAAATCCCCGGAGCCCCCCCCCCCCCCTTCCCCCCTGCACCCCACCCAACGGTGTAGGGTTTTAGGGGTTTAGGGGTTTAGGGGTTTAGGGGTTTAGGGTTTAGGGTTTCGGGTTTAGGGCGTAGGGTTTATTTTCGGGCTTAGGGCATTGTGTCGGCGGCGTCCTTCTGGAGATCCCAGTATGGAGGGGCCCAAAATAGCACCGAAAACACCAGGATCTTGCCAGTATGATTTCTGGAATCCCCGTTGATGGCACCACCCATCCAGAAGGTAGTGTGTTGGTGCCTTTTGGTCGCTAGCTTCAGTCTTCCTAAACCCTAACTGATCATGACGATTCCTGAAAATGCCCCTGGAAGAGCCCGCGCCCTAAACCCTAAACCCTAAACTCCTCGAGCCTCACGAACCCTGATCCCCAAACCCCCAAACTCAAAGCCCTAAAGGTCAAGGGTTTAGGGTCTATAGGGTTTAGGTTAGGAACCTTTAATGCTAACCCATTTGGGAGTTTCCGAAAATTAGGGGGTACCTTATTTTGGGGTCCTTATAATAAGGATCCTACTATTTAGGGTACTATATTAGGGTCCTCTATTTTCGGAAACCCCCATTTCAGTCGAGCCAGGCAGTCAAGCTGGCCCAGAAGCGGATGAACAATGAAACACACATGGTCAAGGACCGGGCCTCAGGTTTAGGCTTTAGGGTTTCAACTTTCAACTGGGGTATGTTTTCTGGCCACCTGAAAACTAGCAACACTAGTAAGAATGTCTGCGATGTCGATATACTCATGAAAGCACAGCCTAGTTTCATGGTGATGGTAGCCGTAGTTGTTTATTTGGTCACAAACCGTTCTTGAAAGCACTAGCATGTTTAATGATGATCGATAGGCTGCCTGGTTAAGGGCTCTCTGGGTTTGGGGTTTAGGGTTTGGGGTTCAGAGTTTAGGGTTTTGGGGCTTTTAGGGTTTGGTCCTGCCGGATGTCAGGCTCCCGGTACATATGGCTGAGGGTGCAGGGTTTACGGGTGAAGGGGTTTCTTAAGGTTTGGAGTTTAGGGTTTAGCCCTAAACCCTAGAACTTAAACCCTAAACCCTAAATCCTAAACTCTAACTCTTAACTGGCAAGGTTTGTATATGGGTGTGCGATTCTGGGGTGGTTTGGCCTCGGGGAGCTCTAGGGTTATGGGTTTAGGGCTTAAGCCCTAAACCCTGGGCCCTACGGTTGATGTTATAAATCCTGCAGTACCCACAATAAGGAATATACCATAATTCCCATAGTTTGGGGTCCTTAAGGTAATTCAGGATTTATATTATCAACTGTAGTGTATGGGATTTAGGTCTTCGGGCTGCTACGCTGCAGAGGCCCCTTGAGCCCCGAAGTTGTTCTTTGATAGAGTTTGGGTTTAGTAGGGTTTAGGGTTTAGAGTTTAGGTTAGTAGGGTTCAGGGTTTAGTTCAGGTTTAGTAGGGTTTGTAGAGTTAGGGGGTTTACCATAACTTGCGTTGTATGGGAGCCAGCCCACAGGCTATCCGATGTTTTCCGATTTGCACTCACCATCTTTCGTCGCTTTGCGATTCGATGCACAGTCTTTTCTGAACTTGTCTGCTCATCCCAGACAAGTCGAAACTGACAGCTCGAACCCGTAAACCCTGAAGCCTAATTACAAGCCTAAGACTTGAGGCTTACCAGTCAATCAGGCGTGCTATCCCATCCCAGCATGCCGCAACCCAACACCCTCACTCCCGAACCCTCTAGCTTCTCAACTCTAAGTTTAATGCCTCTAATTGCAACCCCCCCAAACCCCAAACCCTCTGCACTCGTGAAGCCAGCCCCTATGCCCGTTTCCTGTGGATTGCTCGAGAGGCTGCTCGAAGAAAGAGGCTGGCCAGGGAAGCGCAGCTGGCGCAAGAGAAGCAGGTTCTGGATCTGGGTTTTATCATTGTTAATACCAGCGGCGCTACTATTCTGATATCTTAATATGTCCATGTTTACGCTCACTGCTACTATTATTAGTATTATTAGTATCATTATCATCATCATTAGTATTATAGTATTAGTATTAGTGTTAGTATTCGTATTCGTATTCGTATTAGTATTCGTATGATGATGATGATGATGATGATGATGCTGATGATGATGATGATGATCATGATGATTATTGGTATTGTTATTACTATTATTATTATTATGGTTATTCTTATGATTATTATTACTATTATTATTTTCATTATTATTATTAGTAGTAGTAGTAGTAGCAGCAGCAGCAGCAGTAGTAGTAGTAGTAGTAGTAGGAGGGGTTTGTGCGATTTAGGGTTGCTATACACGAGTTTCATACTCGCCTTTAGGCTGGGGGGGTTCGAGCGTTGAACCTGATGAACTCAGGTCGTTTTTGAGCTGATTATCTTAGATAGCCAGTAGGAGAACGATAATCTTTTTGGCCTTATCTAATCGGTCTATCCTAAAAGAATGAAGTTTTTTTGGGCCTGGTTGTTGAAGAAGAGAGTTCTGGCACCATCCGAATGCTTGGGTCCCGGCATCGAGTAGTGCCAGGCGGCAGAGCAAGCTGCCCGCGAAGAGAAGCTGGCTGAAGAAAAGCTGGCCGGGGCGTTTTGGTATGGCATCACGGGCTTTTTGTTCCGCTGGATTGGAGGTTCAGCCACTTTGGAGCGGGTGGAACGAGTCTTGCATCTGTTTTTGGACTTCGACTGTTGCAGACCTGAGCGTCGCGGTTGCCGTGCCAGGAGGCGGAAAAGGCTGCCCGGGAAAAGAAGCTGGCTGAAGAAAAGAAGGCCCGGGAGTTGTTGGTGCATCATCACGGGATTGTTGTTCCGCTTGGACTGTTGGAGGTTCAGTCAGTGTTTCAGACGTGGGAGTTGAGGTATTTCAGGGCTTTCCCGTGCCCCAGGAGGCAGAAGAGGCTGCCCGGGAAAAGAAGCTGGCTGAAGAAAAGAAGGCCCGGGAGTTGTTGGTGCATCACGGGATTTTTGTTTGCGTTGGCCTGTTGGAGGTTCAGCCATTGTTTCAGACGTGGGAGTTGAGGTATCTCAGGGCTTTCCCGCGCCCCAGGAGGCAGAAGAGGCTGCC